TCTTGAATGGCAGAGTGGTAAAAGATGTCATTTTCAGAAGATGTCATGCTTCAGGGTTCTTAGAAAATAGACCTTAAAAGTTTTCCGCTGCCCGTTCACCAGCCTCCCCCTCCCTAAATATATCAGAGCAGTTGGTCTTGTCCTCACAAGCTCACCCCAAATCCATCAGCTCAGCTGTAAACCATCCAAGAGATTTCCAGCAACTGAATATTTCTTCCACACATGAATTAGCAACGGGGCTCCTTGAGCTCAGAGATGTCACTGTAGCACCAAATAAAGTGACCAGAGAGGTGCTTTCTTCCCAGGACCTTCTAGATGAGAAAGCTTGGGCCGGGCGGTGGTGGCGCACGCCTTTGATCCCAGCTCTCAAGAGGTAGAGGCAGGTGGATCTCTGTGAGTTTGAGGCCAGACTGGTCTACAAGAGCTAGTTCCAGGACAGGCTTGGAAGCTGCAGACAAACTGTCTCGGGGGAAAAAAAAAAAAAAAAAAAAAAAAAAAAAAGAATGAGGTGCTTGAAAGGCAGCCACAGCTTTCTTATAACTGTTGTAGCTCTCTGAAGGGCACAGGGGGGCTGGAGACGTGGCTCAGGTAGTGAAGCATCACCACACAGGCGGGAGGGCTGGAGTTTGAGTCCCCAGCACCCACAGAGAGCTGGGTGTGGCAGCCTACATCTGCAACCCCTATGCTGAGAGGGGACAGACAGATTCCTGGGGGACTCTCTGGCCAGCAGATCTAGCAGACTGGGTGAGTTCTGTGAGAGACCCCTGTCTAAAAACAAAAACAAACAAACAAACAAAAAAAGAAACAAAAAAGTGGGGGAGAAGATGGTGGGGAATGACTGAGGAAGATTTTCAACCTTTAACCCCCACACGTGTTCACATACAAAGACCACAGACACAGAACCTAACTTCAGACATTCCCAAACTATGATCAGTACATCTGCAATTTCCCCCCAAGTGATACACTTGGAAGAATCCTAACTCTCCAGCTTGTCCACATTAGAAAGAGGTATTTTCCCCCCTGATTGCAGAAAGGGCCGCTGGTGCACCCAGGCCAGAGGCCTGCAGAAGCATTCAGAGAGTCAGTTAGGCCCGTGTCTGTTTTCTCTTCGGGATTTACTACTCCCTTTATCCTGCTTCCGTTGACGGCCCCCTCCCTCTGTCTCCTACATAGCTGGACTCCAAAGGCCACAGAGCAGGGACAGTCACTCATGTCTGTGTTGTTGGAGGACCTGCTGAGCACGTTAGTGCTTTTAATCCTAGACCTGCGCGAGAGGTGGAGGGATAGGAATGGCCTCATCTTTCTCCACAGCAAACAGCTATGGAGGTTGGGGAGGGGGGATGGGGAAGGTTGCAACACCTGCGTCAAGCTTGCGGCAGACCAGCTTGCCCCGCAGCAGGCAGCCACGTGGGGGGGCCCAGTTGGCCCAAGTGCTGCTTAGTCAGGCTCCAACACCGAGCAGAGCTTTCAGATGTGCCCAGACCTGCCACCACCAGGTGTCTGTGTCTGGGCCGCCGGGAGGTGACTCTTGCCTTCTAGTGTTTCCCGACACTGTCCTCAGAGGAATGTAGACTCAGGAGAGGCCACCACCACGGAGCTACAGCTCTCTGCCCACGCTCTGGGTCAAAGCCTCTGCCTGCCCTACCCTTTTGGCCCTCACTCTGTCCTCTTGCCAACAGCCCCAGGGCAGGCTCCACCTTCTCCTCCGAGCCACTGATGGGCTCAGGTGAGAGGTGGCTGCCTCCTTAGGCAGTTACCAGTTTACCCCACTGTTGCCTGTTATGGGACATTCCCATCCTTAATTCCCAGCCCTCCTAGTTAATATGAGAGGATTTTAAATATGGTGACTCAAGTGATTTAAAATGTTTTCTAATTTAATTTTTTTAAAGCTCATTTTTCATCCTGCTCCCTACTCCAGGAGAAAATGCTTCTTAAAATTACTTTCCTTGACCAGGCGGTGGTGGTTTATGACTTTAATCCCAGCACTCAGGAGGCAGAGGCAGGTGGATCTCTGTGAGTTCAAGGCCAGCCTGGTCTACAGAGTGAGTTCAAAGACAGCTAGAGCTACACAGAGAAACCCTGTCTCAAAGAACCAAAATATTACTAATAAAAAAATAATAGTAAAATAAAATTATTAGGCTACTAAGAGACTATTTTCTATTTAATAGAAGTTGTGCACACTGGAAATGATCTTCCAGGAGGCAAATATTAGAAACTTTTACCAGTCCTTTAGTAAACTGAACCCAACACAACAAGTTTGGATCTAAACTCAATATGGGTTTTGTGACACACTTAAGACTCAAGTGGCTCTGAGCCGCTCCCTAGCAGGAATGATACCTACTTTACAGCACTCCTGCCTATCTGTCATATACTACAAGCCCAGACTTCAGGAAGACATCACCACACAGCAGAGACTGCGAATGACCGGAATACTAGCCAGATTCAGCTTGTAAGCATTTTGACTCATACTATAGTTACCAATAATTCGAATTAGTTGCCAACTTTTAAATATCAAATGCTTCCAGGCTTTTCTTGAAAACTGAGAAAAGCTGGCAAAACCGAGCCCACATTCCCAGCTGATGACAACTGGCCACTTGGGACAGCACCGGCCCTCTGCCCTTACAGCTCTGACTTTCCCTGCATCCCCTGACCCAACCCTCCTGGCCCTCTTAGGAGATGGAATCAGAGCACATCCGTTCTGACAAAGGACTCACTCAGAGACAAGAGGGACCCAATCAGGTCCTCTGTCCCCAAAGAGCCAACTCTTATTTCCTTAAGATCACAAAGATTTGTGTCTTCTCAATTTTTGCCCTTTTTAATAAAATGTGGTTTAATAAAAGATCCTGGTAAAGTTGGGGAAGCATTGTGTTTTCTTACTCCTCTTAGAAGAAACGAGACCCAAAAGGAAAACAGCAAGGCTGGATGTCAAAAGGAAAAGACGAGGATTTAGAGAGCAGGGTGAAGTGTTAGGGTTGCCCTCTCGTGCCAGATTAGGAGGGCGGAGGCCAAGAGCAGGGAAGAGCTGTGCCAGACACCCCGTCGCTGATGAGAAGCTGAGCATGAGCGTGGTCTGTGCCTCCCTCACCCAGCCTGCTCCACATCCCTTCCTATCGCCACGAGCATTTTCTTCGTCCCCAGTTTGAGTATCTGGCAGAGGTTGCCTGTTTTCCAGTGTTCAAACCAAGCCCAAACCCTCCTTGATGTTTGTAAGCAGGAATAGCGTTAGCCTGTTGGCTCCAATATTTGTCACTATACAAATACAGTTGCACTGAACACAAACTTTCAACTGAAAAAGAAACCCTAAGACAATTTAAATGGACCATTTCCTGGGACTTAGACACTTCGGTACATTACGAAGAAGCAGATATAAATGTTCTAAAATTCTTTAAGAATTAGTTAATGTAGTTAACAAACAAAAATTAGCTCTGTGTGTAGTGAAAAGAGAAAGAGGAGAGAAGAGATGGTTTCATTTAGCCAGCCTGGACTGAGATGAAGTTTCAGATTTGCTTTTATAGATAAGAAAAGGGAGACCAAACTGGATGGCTTCCTCCACGGGTTTCCACTTGCTGAGAACAGGCTATATATGTGCAGGTCACGAAGCAAGGGTTCTGTCCACTACAGCAACTCATTGCCCAGAATCCACTGAGATGTGCAATGGTCAGGGAGTTATGACAATAAAACACAACGAGGCTTCAAAATGCAGAAAGCATAAGAAGCAGAAACAAGTGCTTAGGGAGGAGGAAGAGAAGGGTGCAGAAATTTGTGAAGTGGGGGCTTGGTGTGTCAGGAAAGGCTTCCGAGCCAGGGTCACATTCCTCTTTGAAGAAACCATGAAACAATAGCCAGAAAAGAAGGACCAGAAGAAAGGCCTAAATGTTGTGGTGTGGTGGATTATAGTAATTTGGGGAGGAGCAGAGGACTAGAAGGGAACCAGCCAGGTTAGCTTGGCCATTAATAAAACAAATCTTCATAATGAAGTTAGCCATGTGGCAATATTAATTTGCCCCCACAGGCCAATGCTCATCACGTGAGACCAGGCAACTTCATGCCTGCAAGGAAGGGTACCACCTCGTAAGCTCAGATGAGTCACCTGGCCAAAGTACCAGTAATGGGTGTCCAGTCTCCAGACCCACTTGAAGCCCAGATACCCACACTTTTTTTTTTGGTTGGGCGTCCAGTTTTCTCCTATTTCCACCTGGAGCCTGCAGTCAGCACGTGCCTTCCAGAGAAGCACGCACCCTCTGTCCGTTTGCAACTCAGTCATTGTCCCCAGGGTCTCAGATTGTGTGTGGAACTAGGTTCGCTTTTCAAGGTCGCCCACCAGCAGCGAAGCAGGTGCAAGGAATTGGGAGAAAAGGAAACAGGGCCTGTCACTCCGAGTCTGGGCTCTAAAGAACTCTAAAAAGGACGGACTCCAAAAGCCAAACGGGGCCTCAGGTTCTGGGTCTGCCCTGGCCCGGAGCTATAGGAAAGCCTGGTTCTGTTTCGCACCAGCTGTGGGCCATCTCTGCCTGCTCCCGAGGCTAAAGGATTCTTTGTCCTCGAGCCCCGGAAAGCAGGTTCTCCAGGTGGGCCCCTCCCCATCTGCTCACGGGGACGAAGGTGCAGCTTGGTTCATCCAGTGCCCTTCATCTCCCCGATCTCCTCAGAACCCTGGAAGAAGCGAGGTGAGCCCACTTGGGAGCAAAGTCACCTGTCCCAGGAAAGCGGTAACACCGGGACTTCAACTCAGACTTCCACAAGGGACCCGGGTGTTTGAGTTCCCAATCAAGCCTCCGCGACCCGACCCAAGTCCCCACATCTGTGGCAATAAAAAGTTCCCGGTGGGGCGGGGGCGGTGCAGCCTTCTGCCTCGTCCGCCCTGGGACCCGAGGCGCCTCCGGGGGAGGCGAGGGAGGCTGCACCAGCCCCAGAGAGCCAAGCCAGGGAAACTTCAGAGAGCGTTTCGCCCTTGCCGGGGAGAGAGGCAAACACCGACACGTCTGTCTCTTTCTCAACAAGTGCCTTCAAGCCCGGCGGGGGCAGACACCTCAGCGCCCGCGGCCGGCCGGCGAGGTCTCCGCTGTGCTCGGTGGGGCCTCCCCCGCCCCCCCCCGCAGCCTGGCCTCAGCTGCAGCAACTTAGCTCGGCCTTGGCCCGGGAGCGACGCCCGCAGCCCCCCGGGGCGGCCGGGAGCAGGGGCGCGGGGCGGGGCGGGGCGAGCGGAGTGGGGGGCGGCTCCCGCGGGGGCGACGCGAGGGCGCACGAGGGGCGCAAGGGCTGGCGCGGCCACCGGCAGCCGCGGGGAGCCGCCCACTTCTCCTGCGCAAGGGCGGGGGCCCCCCCGGACGGCCGGAACGTGGATGCGCCGGTCGCCGAGCCGGGGCGGACGCGGAGCGGCCCGGGCAGGGGACGCGCGCCGGGAAGGGCGGCTCGGCAGCGGCCGCAGGATGGCTGAGGTAAGCGGTGGCGCGGGCCAGAGGCGCGGGGCTCTGCCTGACGAGGGCCACCTGCTCGCCGGGGGTCGGGCGCGCCGCGGGCGGTCGAACCGCGGTCGCCACCGCCTGTGCCCGAGTCCCAGTGAGGTGACCTGTGAGCGGCACCCCGTTCCTCTTGCACCCCGGGACCCCTGTCCAAATGCTGTGGCCACTGGAATGGTCGTCGGTCTGGTATTTCAAGCCGTGACCTTTGGAGGAGAGTCGAGGAGACGCCCGAGGGACGTGGAGGGGACGCCGGTCCCCCAAGGGACAAATGCTTGCTTTAAAAAAAAAAAGAGAGAGAGAAAGAAAGAAGCTAGCAAGACCCAGGCGCTGCAAACCGTCAGCTTAGACGTGTCTCAAGTGGACGCTTGCTGATGGGTGAGGAGGTTAGCGGGCGTCCCCGCTGGCTTGTCGCGCGTGGGACACTGAGATGTTCGTGTCCTCCAGAGGCGCAGGGACTTGGAGGGGCCCATCGGGATGCGGATGGGGAAGCCAGAGCCAAGGTTCAGTCTCTTTGGGGATGGTCTGCCCGCGGGTGACAGGAAGGGGACCCTGGCCAGGCAGCAGTGAGGTTCTTAGCCTGCCAGGCACAAGGACTGTTCCAGTGGCAGCGGGGTTCCAACCAGGCGTGCCCCAGAATCCCGCTGCGGGGTGCCGCTGTCCCAGAACGCTGCTTCCCCCAGGAACCCTTAGCCCCCCGGGCCGCCTGACTTTGGGTAAGCTCCTGGGGATTTGTCAGCCAGATGTGACAAGATTGGAGAGGCGAGTGAGAGAGATCTGATATCAATCAGTGCATAGCTCGGAGCCAAACTTTCTCAAATGCGGTGTAGAAACATGTTCTTCTCGTTTAAAGGCATCTCTTTTGTGGCTGTGGGGCTGCCACCGGCCCGAGTTTGACAGTTAAATGGAATGCCAACCAGCAGCCTTAATTGTACGAGTGAAGTTGTGTGTGTTGCGCGGGGAAAGATCAGACACTCCGGGGTTCGGTAATGTCCCCTGGTTTTATAGCTGGGCTCGCCCGCAGACCTCTGAAGATGAGGGCATTTAAATCGGGCCAGACGCCCGGTCGCAGCCAGGCCTCTGCTGTTAACACTTAAGGGGCTTGAAAGAGGCCCCACTGGTGTCCTGGGAATCCCTGTCAGAGTGTGTGTGTGTGTGTGTGTGTGTGTGTGTGTGTGTGTGTGTGTACGTGTTACATGGAAACACAGAACAGATGTATCGACACTTTTTTTTTTAAAGTAGATTCTTATTAAAGGAACAACATTTTGGTGAGACAGTTTAAGTGTACCGAAAAACGACGTTTTGGCAAATCGTTTGTGTGTGTGTGTGTCCTTTGCTTCCCTGCTTACTGTCTTCACTATGCTACTAGATTTTTAGATTTTATGGAGTCTCTCCTGATTTCGAAGAGGTTTAGTTTCCACATTGGTGTTTGTGTGTTAAAACTTTTGTGGAGTAGTGAAGCCGGCGTACGGCTCTTCCATTTGCCCCTCCCAAATTCGTTGATGCATATTACTATACACTTTTATTGAAATTGTATTCATCAACGTGAAATTTTGCACAGCATGTAAAAAAAACCATTATTTCGAATGTTACAGTTTGCTGGATTTTATTTTTGCTTTAAAATAAATACAGACAGCAGCCCCTCTTCCTGTGAGGAATTTTGATAACTTTTTAGTATAATTTCAGACGCTTAAAAAGAATATGATAGGAGTTATTATTGCATTTATTGTCTGGTAAGTTGACAAACTTTAATTTTACAGAAACTTACTGTGTCCGCTCTATTACTGAACATGCTCTGTGGTAGCTGAATGGCCAGACATTGCAATGAGAGCTTCTCACTTGGCGTATGAGTTCATTGTACTTTAAGAACTCAGATTGCCTTCAGACAGCTGCATAATTTAGTTTGCCTGATCCACTCCACCCATGCAATCTGGTAAGGGTTTTGTGGAGCTCTGTTGGGCCAAGAGAAACCGGCTCCTAGTTTGGATAATCTGCCCATGAGTATCTCCTGGGATATGCACCAATAATCTGTGTGCCTGGGTTGTATTCGCATAAGAAATCTTAACCTTCATAAAGCCATTGCCTTAGAAATACAAGGTTTATACAGAAGGTGATTTGGTTTTTATGGCTGTTCCCCTTGCAGAAGTTAGGCCTGTATTCTGGCCCCACACCCACATTTTATACCTCAGATCATCAGCTTCGAAAGATGACCCAGCCCTGTGTTGAGAAAAGCCATCTAGGTTTCCCCCATAGAAAAATAATTGTCCCTTAAGCATGCCCTGGTCACTTCTGAATGCCAAGAAGTAAGCGTAAATGAGGGAACATTTTTAAAGTTTGGTTTGTTATTAAAATTAAACTACAGTATGAGGGGCCAAAAATGTCTTTGAGCTTCTGTACGGGGCTTTGGAAGTTACCCTGGCGGTGACCATTAAGAGCAGTTGCCCTGAAGGTTTGCAAGGTAAATTACTTGCAGGAGAGGCGTGCTTCACCCCAGGGTGAGTTTCCTCTGCAGATGTCATTAGGATGGGGTAGTTACTTTGGTCGGAAACAGTCTGGATAGAAAGTAACTGGAAATACCGTTAACTACCCAGGTCCTCAGAGCCAGGTCATCTGCCTTGATGACTCCCCGTGTGCTTTCCCTGACTGGGAGGATCGTGGACATATTGTTCGTGTGTTTCTTTACCATTGGTGACTTTCCTGAGAGATGGCAAAGATAACTAGGTGCTGCACAGAAGGAAGATCTAGGAAGCTTGGGGGTCCTCCTCCCCTTTTAGTTGGTGTCTCGCAGAACACCTCTTTGCTTATCTCATCAGCCTTTGAAGTCCCTTTCCCCTCATTTTGGAGTTTCCAAGATTGCAGCGTGGCACCTGCCATCTCTGCAAAGATGCACGTGCCTGTTTTAGCCGTAGACGCCGAGCCCAAACAGAAAGCAGCCCTGCTTCTCCAGGGACATTGGAGGCCTCCTCAGACATACATAGTTACTGATGAAAAAAAAGCCGCATCGGTTCCTGTCCACACTCAGACCGTTTATTATAAGTCAGCCTAACCAATCATAAAAGGGCTCTAGCTGAGCCGGGGTGACCATTTCTCTCCACTAAAGTGAAGGAAGAGAGGGGTTAGGAAAATAAAACGTGAAGGCTGGGTTCGAACAGAAGGATACAGTGGCCTCAGGTGAACTCTAATGTGGGCTTTTAACGTTTCTTCCCATTCATTGTATTAGTTGGGTTGTCTCCTCCTGCAGACTGTGTGATACTTCCGTGTACTGAAACATGGGGAACTATTTCCCAGCTTCTAGAAGTGTTGCCCTAGTTCCCTAGTCCTCTAGACTTACTGTGACTGCCAAGCTCCCATACCGCCCACTGTAACAATTCATGATACGCTGTGCTGAGTTTTAAGGTGGAGATTCAGAAAACGTAAATAACTGAGATTGAGTTTATCTTTTTCAAAAAGTAGTTTTTGGTTCTCTTTGAATCCCTAGAACAGTTTTATTTAGACATGTTCACATTTGGAACATTTAGACATCATGGTTAGTCACAAATTCGTATTAAATGCTTAGCTAGCAAGTGTTTTTTTCATTTTACTCCCCACTTTCCAAGGCTGACTCTCTGTTACGCGTATTGCTGATGTCTTCTAGCTTTCATTATCAAAGGTTTATGAGGATTTCCTTCTGAGTTCCTCTCCATGCAGGTTATAAGGGGGAAAATATGCCCATATATTTCTATGTATTTTAAAGCCTTTTTTAAAAAGGAAATATTCAGTTTGATGTTTGTATAATTTCTAGTCTTTTTCACATTTTCATTTTTCAGAACTAATAATTTTAAGAAAAAAAAAGGGTGCAGATGTTAAATTGTTTTGGCATAGGATTTAGGCTTTGATATATAAACATCAAAAGAGCGAGTATTTTCCCCATTATCCTCTTTGAACTAAGCACCAGGAGAACATCACAGAGGTGTGTCGTGCATGCTTTTGCTCACAGGTAGACTTAGGCCAGCATCCATCCCCTGGAGGGGCCGCAGCTCCCTTACTTCTCCGTGCAGGCTATCACCATGCCCTCCTGGCTCTGGCTTCTCTCTTCCTTGTAACTTGCAGTGAGACGCCACATTCTCTCAGTTCTCCTGCCGTGTCTGTCTGCTTCCTGAAGCTCCCCAGGTCCCCTCTCTCGATCATGATCCCCTTTGCTGATGTTGGTAAACAGTGTCTCCCACTGTTCAGAACCCTAATGGTTCTGTGAACCCAGCAGAGAGACCCTGACTGTCCTGCATGTCATCCCACCACTCAGCCCCACCTGAACTGCTTCTCAGGAGTGGCTTTCACTGGCCAAACAGAAACCTGTGTGTTGTGATCCAGGCTTCTGAACCCAGCACACAGACCCAGGAGTTTGCTTGCACACAGACAGCAAGTTTGTTTTCCCCTGGAGGAGGACTCCTGTGGCCTGGCCTCTCTGCACAGTGTTATTCTCCATCTGTTGACTCCTGCAAATTGAAATTTTGGAGGGAATAGGCGTCTTGACATAGCTTATTTTTGTGCTTTTTATTATAGAAAATTTTAGATAAACAGAATTATTGAAATTTGGTGGTAGCGTTTGGGACTTTTAATAGTTAATCCCTATCCCCTATCACTAAAAACTCCAGGATACTTTGGAGGAACTGCTAGCTGACATACAGTTTCATTAAAAATATTTTAATATGTAGCTGTAAAATATAAAAGAAACCACTTTTAAAAACAAAACCAATATACCATAAAACACCTTAAAATAATTTGGGGGTGTGGCTCAGTGGTGGAGCATGTGCTTTTTTAGCTTGTACAGAGCCTCAGGTTCAAGCCTCAACACCAAAAAAAAAAAAATAATTATCCTAACTCCTTAATGTCGTTAAGTTTCCAGGCAATGTTCAAATTTCCTAGACTATCTTATAAACTTTATATTACCATCGGTTTGTTCACATTAGAATCCAAATGTATATATCATTTGTCTCTTTTAA